CCCAGGGCCACCGGTCACGACATTACGTTGGACAGAAAATCCCCTCAACTTTGGTCCCTCAACTTCTCTCTCTCAGCTCGCAGGGTCCAAACGGCGACCTCGGGGAGGTTTTAATCCTTCTACGCCCTCCCCGCCTGCCCCCTTCGTCCTTGGGAACCCACAGCTCCAGTGTCCCTCGGGGTGAGGGTGGCTCAGCCCAAGCCCGGTGCCAGCTCACCAGCTCCAAGTGCAGCCGGCTGATCTCCTGCGCCTGCTCCAGGACCTTCATCTGCAGACTTTTAACCTGTCAACACAGGCAAAGTTAACCAGGAGGCATCTCAGCAGCTTTCAGAGGAGACCCTCTGGTGCAAGCCCGGCCACCAGCGTCCAGTCTGGTTCGCACCTTTGTTATGCCTTAATTTTCCACCTTGCTCTGAGCGCCTGATTCACATGAGCTGATTAAAACAAGCGTTAATGAAAGCCTTGCTTCGACCATGGATATAATTTGTCCATGTTGAGCATTAGCAGAAACCATTATTTAAAAAAAATAATAATAGCATTGTCTTTGGAGAAGGAAAAAACCAAACCTATCCATAATTGTGTTTAAAGATTCAGAAGTGCCTCATCCTGCCCTCGCAACACAGCTTCGCTTTGCCTTCTCTATTTTTCTTTCTAGGAAAGTTATCTTGGGAAAAAGAGGGAGCCGGAGCTCTTCGAGAAGCCCGCGTGTCTGAGACCGACAGGAGGATGCTCTCAGCCACCCCTGTCTGGGCACCTGCCCATCCCATGGGGACCAAGCTGCCCTCCCTGCAAAACCAGGTGGCTTTCAGAAAGCCTCAGGTTTTTTGTGCAGGGACCAGCAAGGCTCCCCCAAAACCATGCGGTTATTCAAAGTAACGGCAGCGGCGAGTGCTTGGCAAAACCAGCGGTCTCACGGGTTGTGTTTTTACAGGGTTTGTCCATCTGCTCTGTCCCTCAGCCTTGTGCCCAAAAACCAATGAGCACTGCCACCTCCCCAGATCTTACCCCGGAGAGAGCCACATGTTTCAATGCCGTCCCCCCAGCTCCCCCCCCCAGTTCCCCCGACCCGCTGCGTCGCCAAACCCCTCGCCCAGACGCGGCAAGCTATTGCCCCATCCCAATAACCAGCTTTTGCTAAACAACCAGGCCTCCGTGGACCATCATTTAGGAACTGCTGATTAATAACAAACGCAAGCTGTGCTGACACGGTGCTGTAATTAATGCCGATAAATTATGAGGCCACGCCCTTGCGGAGACGGC